CCCTACACGGAACTGATTTCCCTGTCGGAATGCAGACAGAGAACGCGCGTGGGTCAGGAAGCTACACCTGGATGCAGCACACAGTAGCCATCTGTCCAATGAATACATTTTAAAAACAATAGTTCTGTGCTTAGATATTCATTTTATTTCCAGTATGTCGCCCCCCAACATTTTAAAATGTTTATAAAACATTTTTTTAAAACTGAGTTGCTTCTTTCTTTCAAACTAACACAGAGAGGAAGAAGAAAAGCAAGGTTATGGCAATTAATTAGCTAGCTGGATTAATGTTTAAAAACCCTTTGATTCACTGAAGTTATGGTGAGAATTAATTTAGGTACCTATAAAAACTCCAGACTCAAGAGGCACCCCCCTACTCTTCGCTTACATTGGAGAGAATGGCCTCTATGACATGGTTGCAGCGCTATCAATTAAAATCCCACCCCTACCCTTTGTTTTTGCCCATATGCATATCTGTGCAGATTTGGGGGACAATCCTAAACAGGGCTCCTTTGAAATAAATGTGCTATACAATGGGGCTTACCCCCCCCCCCAAGCACGTGCCCATCAGACTGCAGCCTCTGTTGATCAAAAGCCATAGAAAGATGTCTTTGGGATCCCTATAACTGAGTGACAATTCAAATTCTTCCTGATAATTTGTATAACTCTTCCAGACTTGGCTGCAGTCCTGTAGGTGATCAGCAAGGCTTAACTGTCACTGAGGCCCCTGGGATTTAAGCAGCTCTGCTAGGTGTAAACATCTCAGGACCTTTGGTTTGAGCACAAAGTACTTTTACGTCCCGAGAAAGATTTTATTTTTTTTATCCTCCTGTTTACCCTGTGAAAGAAGTCAGAGATCCACCAAAGGCTCTCCAAGTTAGCAGAAGACAGTGGAATTTGGCATTCCCAGAGCCAAGTCCAGCAACTGAACTGCTGCCTCCCTCTCCTAGTTGATGCCTGGGAACTATTTCAGACATCCAGCATATCCAGCTTGTTACCACTGTGTTAGTCAACCAACAAATCTAGTAGTGCCCCAATATGACACATGGGTTGCGCTGCCTAAGCTGTTGACTTGGATCACATGGTGGTCTGGCTCCAATAAAGGTGTCTCTGCTCAGAGGGTAAGAAAGGTTTTTTTTTTTTTTTAAATGCATTCCTAAATATGCACATAGGTATCCATTATTACAAAAAACCCAACAACCTGCCCCTAATTTTCATCCCACACACAGATTTTGTATATGTGAATTACATTGATGTGTTGTAATATTGGCTTTAGGACAGTGTTCAAATGTATGATTTAGCTCAGTTGTCTACATGTTTTTATATTGTACCTTTCAGTACATGTTTCTAAACTTCCATTGCTAAATAGATTTTTTTTAAAAAAAATGTGATTTGTAGAGCTACATAGTATTTAATGAGCTAGCTTCCCCCTAAAAAAAGCTAACAGTAATTTACCAATAAATTATGTTCTTAACTCCCTTATGCCTACATCATTTGGCAGCTCATATGGGACCATATCATCTGCAATACTTAGGCCCAACCAGGTGATTTAAGGACAGAAGTTCAACCTTAACTCAATTTCCTGGCCTAAGTGTGTTTAAACCAGATCTTTAAAATAATAAGGTATGTTATGAATGGTTTTTCAGTGATTAACGTTCTTAATAGCAATGACAGAACATCAAGTGAAAGTTGTTTCCCAAATGTAGCAGGATAAAGGGAAAAGAACAAAAAATATCTTCATTTTGATAACGTTGGCTGTAATTCTGCAAAGAGAACCTTTCTCGTTTAATTTAAAATTGGTATATTTGTTAGAAAATGTCACTTGATACTTGGTTCCTTGGAACCGGAGTCCTAAGCGTGATTATTAGGAGGAAAGTCCTACTGAATTTAATGGAACATACTTCTGATTAGACATGTTTGCAGAGCTATCCCATGGTGGTAAAATCAATTCAGTTATGTATCATTTACGGTATGTCCTTTAGTGTTATTTCCAAGTCACCTATGGTGGATGCCCTAACCTTGCCTGTTGGTAGGACTGGCCCTGTATGTTTGAAAATGGTGTTTTAGTTGGCCAGCATTCTTCTAGGTGCTATGTGTCATTCAGATAAAATTATTGTACTCCAGGGTCTCTTAGTGCAGCTTTTAACAATGGATAGAAGACTTTGGATAGAAGAGGAAATGAGTCTAAGAAAGATATGACGGATGGTTTTAGGATGAGATGCGGAAAGTACCTTCAAGTCACAGCTGACTCATGATGACCCTGTAGAATTTTCAAGGCAAAAGACATTCAGTAGCAGTTTGCCATTGCCTACCACTTCTGTGGTGGTCTCCCATCCAAGTACTCTGAACCTGCTTAGCTTCCAAGATCTGACAAGATCAGGCTTGCCTGGGCTATCCAGGTCAGAGCAAAGATGAGATATGCCATAGAAAAAAAATCTGTTAGAATAACAAAGCATGAAAGCAAAGGCAAAAGTGGGGTGCAAATCACATGTGCCATGATGTTCTAGATGAATTGCAGTGAATTTGGTAGGGGGGGGGAGGACTAGTCATGTCTAACTGGGCTATGCAGACAAGTCATTAAGTGGCTTAGGGCACAGAGCTGTCAAAGAAGCCCTGTGTGATCAGAGAGGCGACCATGATCCCTTGCGCTGCTGCAGAGGATGCTGGGGCGCAGCTTGCTTGCAGCATTGCAAGGGATGGTGGCATGCCCTTTCGGATCAGGCACTCCAGATGCTCTGAGGTGTGAAATGGCTTGGGACGGTCCTGATACCAGAGGCTCATTGTTCTCATTTTCTCACAGGGAAACATTTGGCTGAATGTAGATTAGAGGCAGGTGGTTTGTTTATGGACTTATTTTTAAGAACGGAAGACGATTTGGAAGTAGACTCTTGGTAAATACACTCATTCTTCTTGTGGTCTCTGACAAACAGTTTAAAAAAAAAAAAAAACCCTGCAGGATCTGTTTGACCAAAGAGGGACAAAAGAAAGATGGGAAGCAATCCCCCCCCCCCCCAAGTCACTTTTGACTCTTGGGAACTATAGTCTCTTTCCAACCCTCTCCTGGAATAAATCAGTTTCCCTCAGATCTGGTAACTCCTTTTCAGAGCTTATCTGCCTGTAAGAATGGGTTTTTTTAAAAATTTAATTCAGTAGAGGAGATGGCTTTGCTGTGTGCCAAGAGATGCATGCTTTGAGCATTCCTTGTCATTGAAATGTATGGGGAAGCCTATTCATGAAGTAGTAGAATGCACCCAAACACACTCAGGGGCATGGCACAGAAAGAAGTCCCTTCCATCTCAATGGAACTTAAAATTCAAGGGTGTACTCAGCATTGTCATGTAAGGCTATCACTCACTGCAGCCCACCTGAGACCATCTGTGGCCCACCTAGAAGTTTCCCCCAAAATGCCTGACCATATAAAGGAAACTCCACAGCAAAGATCACATTTTTCAATACTGGAAAATTGTGAACAATAGAAAAATGTTGTATTGTGTGTGTTGGGTGATAGTGAGATATTGAAAAAATGGTATAAGATAGTCCAGCAGTCCCGGAATAAAATAATTCAGACTCAGAGTCCATGTGTGATTAAAATATAAAGTTTTTACTAAATTCTAGCATGGGAAGGGTAACTGGGATGAAAATAACAACAGAGCAAAATCTGCTATGTCCTTATTCTACAAAGACAAAACTAGAAGAGAGAGATTATGGCTACTCTTCTTCTTCAGAACACCAAACAAAGATGGGAAGAGAAGCCATAAAATAGTAATACACCTTGACACTTTAGTCCCAATCAAATTCCTAGATCAGGGAGAAAATTCCAGGGCTTTCTATAGCTAAAGAACATTGATTACATGAGAAATATGTGACTTCCTGTGAGTAACATAAACAAACATTTCACCCCAGATATACTGAGTGTTTTCAACTTGTAATACCCAACACCCCTTCTCAAGTTATAACACGAAAGTCATGCAGATTCAAACATTCACAAAGAGTTTCAAAACGTTGCTTGTCAAGCGGCTTGGTCAGGATGTCGGCAGTCATCTGATCAGTAGGACAGTATTGGAGTTCAATCAGTCCTTGGTCTTGCAGCTCTTTCACGTAGTGACATCTGAGTGTGATGGTCTTGTTTTTAGATTTGGTGCCTTCACCTTTGCAGATGGCGATACAAGCTTCATTGTCCTCAAAAAGTATTATTGGCTTTGGTTCATCTATGCTGAAGTCTTTCAGTAGATGAATAATCCAGTAGAGCTCATAGCTGGCACTTTGTGCTGATACACATTCAGCTTCTCCAGTAGACATGGCTACAATAGTTTGTTTTGACTAGTCCATTCAATCAAACTATTTCCATAGTACAACAAGTATCCACTTGTAGATTTTCCATCAGGTGAGTTTTTGTCCCAGTTG